CTAAATGAAACAGGATACAATCTACAATCCTCCCGCCCTGAATATTTCCCTTCTGACAGATGTTCAGCTGAACAAACTTCCCGAAGCGACTGGAGTTGTTGTTGTACACTGTCTTCGCGTTGCCGAAAGCTTCCATGATGGGACTGCAAACGAAGTGAGAACAGCACAGAGTATTAACTAGGGCAGATCTAAAAATGGCAAGAGCATTTCACGCAAATGTCAAAATATACAACTGCAAGAAAAGTCTGAAACCAAAACAATCTAGGGTGACTATGCTTATTTTCAGAAGAGCCAGATTTTCAAAACACTTGCTGAAATGACTTTATCCTGCATATCTGTTTAGAAGAAGAGCAAGGATCTCACAGCAGGTTGTGCTGGCAAAGGACGTTACATAGTTGAGGAGACCACAGTGGCTCATCCCTGCACCAATTAGCTTGGGCTTCTACACGCAATCCAGGGATTGTACAGAAAAAGTCCCCACTTGAATGCTAGAAACTGTAAGTTCCAGTCCTGTAAATTTCTCTCATTCGCTATGTATCCTAGGAGACCACAGTGGCTCATCCCTGCACCAATTAGCTTGGGCTTCTACACGCAATCCAGGGATAGTACAGAAAAAGTCCCCACTTGAATGCTAGAAACTGTAAGTTCCAGTCCTGTAAATTTCTCTCATTCGCTATGTATCCTAGGAGAAACTCATTTCACTTCTTTGGGTCTTCTCCAACTGTAAGACAAAGCCAGACTAGATCAGGGGCTGATAAACTTTTTCTGTATAGGACCAGATAGTAAACATTTTAGGCTTTGCATACCATGTAGTCTCTAGTGCAACTACTCAGCTCCACTGCTATAGCTTGAAAGCAGCCACAATTGATATAAAGGAGTGTAGCTGGGTTCTAATAAAACTTTATTTATAACAGGCTGCAGGAAGGAGATTAAGAAGTTCTGGAGATGGATGGTGTTGGTGCTTGTACAACAATGTGAATGTACTTAATGCCACTGAGCTAAAATGATTAAAATTACACATTTTATGCATATTTTACCACAATGAAAAAAAAAGTGTTGAAACTAAAAATAAAAAACAAAAAAAACCCACCAAAACAGGTTGCAGGATATGGGCATCAAGCTGAGGTTTGCCAATCCCCGAGACCTGGATGAATTTCTAACAGGATCTGCAAAGTCTCTACTGGTTCTAAAATCTTATAAGGCACAAATCAGATACCGGGCAATTGCAAATATTTTATATAAAAATTCAGCGATACCTCGCCACACACCTAGCTCTCTTTCAAAGTTCTGAGGCTCCCTGCCATAGAATATGTCATTGATTTGCCACATGACAGGCTACAAAATTCTGCTCACACTGAGCCCCCCAACAGCTGAACACTGGCAGAGCCTTGTTCCTCTCTATGCCTTCCTTTACACAGTGGCTGGGGGTGACATTTCTGCTGATAACACGGCCTCAAGAAAACTAGTCAACTCTAATGCTTGAGTACTTGTTCTACAAACTCTAATACTAGTGCCCTAGCTGACTAGTGGGTCCTTCAAAAACAGGTGATGCTGGAGTCAAGGGCTCTCAGGTAGGAAGGAGGCTGCAGACTTGTTCCTTGGTACCACTCAGTCACCATCTCAAACTGGCCCAGTGGTGAAGAGTCAGGAGCATCTTCAACTGGGAAGAGTCATTGCTGAGGTTATTAGAAAGTGCTATGTGCACGGCAAGACCTTTTCGTAAGGAATTGTAAAAAAAGAAGTCAAGAAAAAGAGAAACTAGACCAACCGATTTTAACTCTTCATTAAATAAGCCATACTGTGAGGAAAGTGAATTTTGTAAGTTGGAAACAAGAAAAACAATGAAGAAATACCTGCTTTCAAGGATAGCTTGTTCAACACAGGATGTCTTCTCCTTTAAGGATAATTCTGAAGACTGTTGACTGATGACTGATAGAAACTTGAGGATCAACTTGGTGCTTTCGGTTTTACCTGCCCCACTTTCACCACTGAAAGACAAAACGCAGCAATGTGTGCTTCTAAGCATAATTTCTTTAAAAACCCAGCTCGGTTGATGGTACAGAACAATTGCTGAAAAGTGGAAAAAGGGAGATCAAAATGCCTGTTTCCAAAGAGCTGAGTTGAAGGGATATAGAAGTCCCTTCCCTGCTGGCCACTCTGTCTGCAGCCTCACACACATCTCCCTTTGGCATAAGAGGTAAACAGAGCCACCTTTTATTAAGGAAAGATCATACGATGGTGGTGCCTGTCACAGAAGGTAAGCTCCACAAGACTGGGGACCTTCATTTTGTTCCCTAGCGTATCCCAAACTCCACAACAGTGCCTGACTTGTGGCGATCCCTTGGTAAATATTTGCTCAGTGAATAAGCACATTAACAGTATCTTTCAGGGACACCTAAAGCAGGTAAATGTGCCTAAAAATGCAATCGTTCATAAATATTTTTTGAGGGAACAGGCAACAAACCTTCAGGGACACAGCCCACACTAAATCATTTTATCCCCACAATAATCCTACAAGGGAAGCAGTAACTAAGAGCCAGAGTCAGAATCTACCGCCAGGTCGCTTTGCCTTCCAAATACTGCTGTGGTCCTGCATTAGCGACAGCGAAGGAGAAGTGAGCAAAGCAACTGAGGTGGGGAGGCCAGTGTGAGAAGTAAATAGGGTGTGAGCTCTGCCCTGAAAGAGGCAAACAGCAGGCAGGCACGGAGGAAAGGGGGTGGACTCTGGGGAAGACAGTAACGCGAGCAAGAGCACAGGAGCCGATCGGCTCGGAAAGACCCTTGCAGGAGAAAGGGATCTGGGACTCGGCAGCTTGGTGGGACTGAGATCAGAGGTGGCAGAGCAGGAAGGGCTGAGACTGATGCCATCAAGGTCACCCGTGAAGAACACAACTCTACAAGCACTGAGGTGTTCCTAGGGGCTATTTCTATCATCCAGGTGTGCAGTCACTGGACACATGTAACCGGGCTGAAGTTGGTAAGAAAGATAAGGAGATGAGAAAGACTTGGAAGGAGAAACCCAATCAGTTTTGTGCTAGGCACCATGCTCAGTATCACGGGGAAAACAGAAGAAGCAAAAAGGCCAGAACTTATGAGAAAAGTAAATGGAAGGGATAAGTCACAGCACAGTCATACAAACACCACCACGAGACAGCATGTTAGTAATTGCTAAATGGTCGGATAAGCAGACAAGTCTCATTTGAGTTCTAAAAGAGAAGTTGTCATTGAGTGCCAACATCTGGGAAGTTATCTGGGAAGAGGAATTTTGCTGGAAATGTGGTGAAGGATTAAGAAAGAATAAAAAAGAGGAAATGACTCAAAGTGACACCATCTGTGGCAGGCTGGGTGCTGTGGGCCCT